AATACTATGCTTAGTGTTTCCATCTCCCTCTGGTTTAACCAGCCACAAATTACTATGCTTAGTGTTTCCATCTCCCTGTGGTTTAACCAGCCACAAATTACTATGCTTAGTGTTTCCATCTCCCTCTGGTTTAACCAGCCACAAATTACTATGCTTAGTGTTTCCATCTCCCTCTGGTTTAACCAGCCACAAATTACTATGCTTAGTGTTTCCATCTCCCTGTGGTTTAACCAGCCACAAAATACTATGCTTAGTTTAAAACACAGAGGATCCAGTATCAGTATCTCTGTGAAATACTTAAAAATAATCCCTTTAATCCTGTCGTATAGAATATTAAACATCAAAGTGCTTATTTCGGAGAATTCCTCTCCTGATCATATTTCTAATTCCACCTTGTAAATTGAGGTATTCAGGTCATCACAACCCCAGTATATCAATATAACCTTAATATTTTTCTTCTATTTAGTACTTTAGTTATATTATGATTAAATTTTCTCTACAGTGTCCTCCATGAAGCTTCATCATTCTACATGAAATATAATATTTTGACAATTTTAATTGTTATCAATATTGGATGTTTAATGTTTTTTTTCTTAATCTGTTAAATGTCATTAATGATGTGTTTTTCCAATCACAGTCATGTTACGTCTGAGCAGCGTGCTGAACTGGCGGAGCAACTTGATCGAAAATATAAAATACAACCTGTTTTAAGTCATCGTGATTCTACATCTTCCCTTGACAGTCTTGATTGTGGCTCCAGCATATCAGATGCAAGCATGTCGGGAAGTTCCACCCCAGTTGATGCAAAGAGTCAAAGTTTCCGTTGGAGTCGGACGGAAAGTCTTTCTGACTTTGCAAGTACATTAAACGTTATTGAGGAGATGACTGATGGAGCCTCAGTTGATTCTGACAGACATAATGATAGTCAATCTGACACACGGAATTGTGAAGTTCAAGCAGATTTCACAGAAAGTGCCTTAGAAGAACTTGAAAGATTTACAGACGAATTCAGTGATAATGAGACTGCTGAAGTATTTACAGTTGAGAGCGAGGAAAATTTTGACAATGTTGACTTAACGGTTGTGGTAACAGATCACGAAAGTGTTGGGAATGTCAAAGCGGAGAATTTAAACTCTGATACATACACAAGTAATGGTGCTTTGCATGAAAAGTCAAAAGACAGAGAAGAGAAAAATGTTTTAGATACTGAAAGTAAAGAAAAGTCTACAGACCATACAAATAACCAAGAAAGTGCTGCAAAGGAACCAGCAAGTTTTGCAGGATGGCATGATGTACGACAGGCTTCTACCACATCACCTCAACCTCCACAATCATTATTTCAACAGTTGATAGACTTTAATCAAAAATCTGGGAGACAGAGACAACTATCACCAGAGAGTTCTTTTCAACTACCGTATGAGAACGACTTTGATTATATGATGCGTCTTGCTAGAGGATGTTCATCTCCTAACAGAGGACTATTCTCGAGAACAACGAGCTTAGATAGTAGTGTTGGTGGCAGCTCTCTGAGTGATATAATTTATGAATCGATGGATCTAACCCCTACTGAAGACATTCTTCTTAATCTGGGGTTCGGGGGTGAAGATTTCGCGGTACCAGAAAGGTTTATTAAGCCATGGCAAGAGAAGGTATTCCAAAGTAAATTACGCGAAGTGAATCAGAGTTCTTTTGAAAGTGTTGATCAGGAGGTTATACAGGAATCTGATAAAAACAGCGATGAGAACAAAGAGAATTTACCACTGGAGACTCAAGTGGATGGGGCTTTGAAGTCTGGATACAATGTTCCAGCTATGAAGAACAATGGAGGGGCAAGTGAAAAGAAAGTACTGTCAGATATTGCATTAAATCGAGACAGTAACAAACAAAAAACAAAAAGAAGAAAACTAATTCGGTCAGTTACTCTTTCTTCACTAGGATCTTCAGACAATATGGATTCGCTAAAATTACCGTCTGTTGATTTACAAATGAAGGCATCCAAACTGCATGCTAAGTCAATGGCAATCTTTTCTGAAAATGAAAATGCACAACTAGAACAAGATAATGTGAAGGATCGGAGACGCAAGCAGTTATCACGTCAGAAGTCTTTGCCGGCATGTTTGGAGACGTTGACTGAAGAGGATGAGGCACAGTTTGTGAAGTCTCCGAAGACGCCACAAGAGAAGAAGTTTTTTGAACTTTTGAGAAGAATTGATGGAGTTGAGGATGTGAGCTTGACGACTCAGCCAGAGTGTTGTATTGTGGAGATGGAGGAAAAGGAAAGTGAGGAAAATATTCTTCCAATTTTAGATGCGGACCAAGAGCAATACATGTTAGCTGTAAAGAACCTGGTTGAATCGAAGGATTCAGGATTTGAAACAACAGCAGCTGGTTCAGATAATGATAAACAGGAATCATTTTATGAAAAAGAAGTTTGTACACAAACATCAGATAGATCTGAATCTCCGGCTTTAAGACTTGATTTAACTAACCTAGCTCAACGTGGTACTGAGCTTCTTTATTCAACTAACCTGGCTCAAAGTGGTACTGAGCTTCTTTATTCAACTAAACTTGCTCAAAGTGATACTGAGCTTCTTGATTTTACTAATATGACTAAAAAAGATGCTGAATGTGAGCTTCTTGATCAAGAAGTGATTGAGTGTTTTGCCAGTATATCTACCCAGACCAGTGATGAACTTTCTTCTCCATCACTCTCTCCATTATGTGGCTTTATGCCTGTTGAGGAGTATGTTGATCAGGGAACAATGAACAACACTTTGATACTAGCTAAACATGAAAGATCTCTGACTGAAAAGCCTAAAGCTGACTGTCGCCAAGAGAGTCTCCAGGAATATGCAAGCATGTCTAGCACAGAAACTGTAGTTGAGGTCAAGAAAATTTCCAAACAGAATAGTATTAGCAATAAACCCCTGGTTGAAGAGTCTACACCTTACATTCATACAGTGCAAGACACCTGTCTTGACGCGGTTTCTCAAACAGATTTGGTTCTTCCAGCCAATATGAATATTGGATTATCGCTCCATGTTATTTCTCAGTTGAATGAAGCTAGCACCAATCTCACAGATACAGTCAGCAATTCATCTGTGTCAAATAATGACAATGACAAATTTTATTGTGCTATGATGTCTGCTATCAACAGAGAAATAAAAGAGAATGACGTCATTGCACAACAGGTTGTTCAGCATTCCAAATCTGCTGATTTCAGTAAAGAAAATAAATTTTATGGTGACTTTGAAAGTGATTTTGAAACTGAATCTGAACCATCTCAGGTTGATGTTTTGCATAAAAGCAGGACTTTCCACCCTCTTGATTTACATAAATGCTATGAGACATCAGATATTCATGAATCACCGATATCAAAATATTTGCGGAGTTTTCCTAGAGAATTTAGAGGTGGAACAGAAACAGTATTAAAACCAAATGAACACATAGAACTCAATCCTAATGGCAAAGTGTATATACTGGAAAATATGCAAGATGATGAAGTGTCATCTAGCTGTTGCCAAGGTTACAGTACGGGTATCAGTTGTCAGGATTTAGATGCAGGTGCTATATTCACAGGCAATTTTAATATGCAATATAATACTGATGAAGGAATGACACACAATGATAGCTTGGAAGGGCAGCCGGACTGCTTTTTCAGATATCAGAGACATTCTGTTGACCAACTTAGAACTGAGATTACATTAACACAGTATGAGGAACTTATTGAAAGATTTGCTGAGGAATTAGTGGAAAACACTCTAACTAAAGTTACAGCTGAGGTGTACGAGTCTACTCATCAAATGAGTAATGACCATTTAGGAAGGATTATGACTGGAAGGTCCTTTTTGAATAACTCTAATAATTCAAGTGGCAATACCGTCATTTGGTCATCAAATGCACAGGAGCTTCACCAGTCTCATCAACAAGATTCGCAGATTGGAACATATTCTTCTGAACTTTTCATAAATGTGTTGCCTGGCAACAACATATCTTGTCCAATTTTTGAGAAAGTCAATGTCGATGATTTCTTGGGAAATGTCTCTAAAGAGACTACGTCTGCTAATTTAAGTTGTCCAGATAGCATTGTGATCTCGGAATGTCATAATAGAGTAGAAAGTGATAGGAAAAAAGATGTTGATAGTTCTGTCTCTGGATTATCTTACGAGGACATCTGTCTGAAAGCAAAAGATCTAATTGATACTTTGGACCGGGCAAGTGCAATAATGACGGGAAGTGCTAGCCGTTCTTCTTTAGCCGATTGCTTTAGTGACTTTGGAAGTAATCAGGGTGAAAGTTGGGAATCCACCTCCACTACTGGAAGTGGAGTGGAAAAAAACAGGTAGAAACTGAATGTTTGAACTTAAAAAAAAATAGATGGTTTCATTGCACCATAAAAGTGGTTAGTTGCATGCTTCATTTTATTTTATAAATTTCACTTGAATAAAAATGGTAGTATTTGGTCTTGTGATATCAGTTTTATTTGTGCATTATTGTATATTAATTTAATATTAGTTGTGACATTTCATTAAGCATGTTGACCTTGTACATATAGTTTTTTGTGTGGTCATTACTGTGAATGTAAAGTGTATATAATGCTGTTTTTTGCAAATGATCTTCAATTTAAAGGACAACACTGGAATGATCTACAGCTACGGTTATGTTGAATGTCGTCAGCAATGATGAATAATTTGATGTGTTCTGTATTGTTTTTTTGTTTGTAGTATACATGTGTGTGTTTCATAGCATGATGTGTGATGTGCATGCTTTCTTATTCATATTACTGTACATCTTCACAGTGTATTCTTTTCACATATATCTGTATTACATAATTTCAATGCTGACTGAACTCATTATTATCTTGTTTATCTGCCAAATGAAAATTGAAATAACTGAATTAATATTTAATAACTGGCAGAAATTTTGTGAAAATCCACATTACAGTAGAATGACGCCTGATTTTCTAAGTTTTCATATTACCGGTACTATATTTCACTAATAATAGCAAAATAAATTGGGGTCAACGTCTTGTTTCAATTCGGAGATCTCGGATTTCATCGATTGTTAACTAAAATGACTGCCATTTTGGGTTTAACACATAATTGAAAATTAATTATCAATTAATATAATTTTTTTTTTAATTATTAATAATGATATTGATATTGTTTTCATAGAGCACATTACGCTGGAACACAGTTATTTAATGGATCGTTTACAAATGGTGGAAGGTACGATGAGGATGATATGGATGGAAGCCTTGTGGATAAGGTAGAAGCATTGATAAATAGAAGAAAGAAAACACAGATGATGTCACCACGGTCTCTATCTGTCAGTATGCCCAATGTTTCATTGGGACACTCCAATCTTGATGATCTTGTAAGTTTTAAAATCACTATTTCTGTATTTTATTATCAGTATCTTGAATATATGGCCAAAAGTGATCTTTTATCCACAAAAGACATTGTCCATCATACCTATCACCCACGGTAACTAAATTATCCAATCCAATCCAATCAAGATGAAATAGCAGCAACTCTTTAACCTGACAGTCATGCTTTACACATTCTAATTAATACATTAAATATCTCTGAAAAGAAGTATGGTGTACAATGTAATTGATAATCTGATACACTTTGCATGACGCTATTGACGTAGTGGTGTCTTACATATGGTTTACCATAAAGTGATAAATCATTAAAGAAATGGAAATACACCTAGTACTCTTCAATGGGTGTTACCAGGAAAACTAATTTACCCCATGCACAGTAAAAAGATGTAGAATTTAAAGTTTCTATCTAATAGTGGTTGTCAATTGATAAAAGTGTGTAATTGTAAATCTCCTGTTTATAATCATACCAATTAAAATACTATAAATATGTTAAACAATTAAATTGTAATTTAAAGCCATATTGTATCAGAAAAATAAAGAAAAAATCATGTATATTGGTCATTGTTACCGGTATTCAAAAATTTCATTTCATTTCATCAGTTTTTATGTTGGGTATTTGACTGCCCTCAATGTCAAGATTAAGAATTTTTTTTGTTTTTTTGTTTTTAAAGTTACTGACGAAAAATCTTTGATTGTGACTGTGATAAAGATTTGGACATAATGTATTACATTCAGTGAATCACCTGTCAAGGAAAAATTCATTTTTTTCATTTCTGAAATTAAATGAATAGTGCTGTCTTTTTTTCCTAGCTTGATGACGACTCTGGTATGGAAAGCAGACTGCATGATTTGGAAAGCGGTGTTCGGGATGCTAGTGCCAGAAAACAGGTAGAACATATATGATGTACTTCCTCCAGTTTGTTCCTGTGAAAAATGATCTATGTCAAACTGTTCAATGGTGAACTTAAAATTTGGGGAAAGACTTGTGAGATTGTGAGAAATTCCCACTGCTACAAAATTTTGTAATTTTTACTGTCTCGTATATTGTATTGTATTGCGTTGTTGCATTATTGCATCTATGTTCGTTCTCCATCACAGATTGCCCTGAAGGAGCTTAGAGTCGTACAAGAAGCGTTGAAGCGAAACCGATCAGATGCAAAAAATGCTGAGAAATCAACTCATGGTCTTTTACAGAAAACAGAAAATCTAAAGTAAGATTATTATCTGCATATAAAAAGATATTAAGTGGTTAAATAAAGGGACAAATTGCATTTTTTATTTATTTTTTTAATTTATGTATATAGTTGTCCAAAAGTTTATTTCCCATCCTTGTAGGTGCTATTTGCATATGTGTAGTATAAATCCCATCATTTTCTCCTGTATGTATTTGATACCACAAAATCATTATATACAAATGTAGTTCCCATCACCAGAAATGTTTGGGGGGATTAACCATGGAGTCATTGTGACTTCTTGACAAAAAAAATCTATGAAAATTTAAGTAAAATATACTTACATTCACAAAGTACCTCAGTGAGCATTATGTGCTATAGCTGCCTTGAATTGGTCTAGCGTCCTCGGGTTGAATGCAGTAAACTGGTTACATGATTATGCTAGTGTCCAATACTAGATAAAATGCATGTTTAAAACATGATTTCAAAAAGTTTCACATCTGTGTTTGAACAATGTATTTTACATGCTTTGTATTTGTCGCACGGGTCTCGTATCAAATATTATGCAGCGTAACCAAAGTTCGCTGTAACATAATTGTAAAAATATCATCGATGCTTAGAACGTCAGATTTTAATTATATTTTCTTATTTTTCAGATCTGAATGTATGGTGCTTGAGTTTCAGCGTGATCAAGCCAGGCGTGAGCTGAAGGACATGGAAGAGGATATTGCAAACAGAAAACAAACCATAAGAGCCCAGCAACAACAAAAAGAAAATTTCAGAGCTCAGCAACAACAAAAAGAGAAAGCCAAACCAAAACCGGATGACACAGGGATGACAGCTGCTGAGGTACGGGATATTACACTGCATGTCCCTCATCTCAACAACTGCTATATACCTGTGACATTCCCTATTTTATACTGGAATAGTCCATTCCATTGCATGATATTTAATGTTTTGTTAATATTGCCCTTGTTAATTTTTTTTTGTGTTGCCAAATTATGTAACCTTGTTACTAAAATTTCAACTACTGATTGCTGATTGTCAGCATTGCTTGGTTTGAAGAATACACAAAGCAAACTAAAATAATTGAAGATTTGTTCTTATTTGACAAAGATTGTATCATGTTTTACGGTAGAGATGCAGGTTCGTGGGCACTTGAGAGTGAAATTTTTTTTTTTTTTGCTTTTTGTTATCCAAACAGTCTTGGCTATAGGCTGTTAAAATTGTGTAGAATTGTGAATAGTGGAACATACTCAAAAGACGATTTTAAAATGTATATAACAAGTGCAAACATTCTCTTTTGAATGCTTAGCAAGATTTAGGAAACCTGTCAGGTAAACTGCATCTCTACCTTAATTGCTTTGCATGCATTGCAAGCTTGCTTATAAATACACATGCACAATTTTGTTTGTATTCCATCTGCTGCAGATTTTGTCCATTGTGAAAGAGAGAGACGACCTGAGAACCAGAGTGAGAAATGGAGAAGCAGAGATGTCACGTCTAGAGAGATCTGAACTTGAAAGACAATTGAGTGCTACAAAGGAGGAGCTCTTTAATGAACAAAAAAAGAATCGAGCAAAAGTAGACGCGATGCAAGAGGTAGGTTTACAGAACCAACAAATTTTACATGTTTATGTATGTTACTTGACCACAATTCATCATTCTATCTGCCTTGCATTGATTGGCTCATTTTGATCATTGAGAAGGTGACGAATCACCTCATAGCTTACACATGTGTTGCATTGTGGGTATTATATGGTGTTTAAAAATTGAATGAGTAATATTTGAGATTTTTAGTAGAATAGAGTGATTTGTGTGTGATTTGATGTGTACGGGATGTTGACCTGTTTTAATTACCTAGTCATTCATGTGTATATGAGAAAATTATAACCAACTTCAACAAGAGATTCTGTTCATTGTCCATTTCGTCACCTGCTCTCTGGGATATCGTATTCTCACATTATTTTGTCAGTGTCGGTAGCAATAACAAGATGTTTGTGAGAACACATTTCACATGAGAGGTATTTTGAGTTCAGTAAAATGGTTGGAATTAACGTGAGTGATTTCTTGTATATAAGAGCATTTCGAGTGAGAGGTTGTTGAATTATAAATAATCAACCTTTGTTTCCTGGAGTTCTTTGAAGAGATTTATTAAACTTATTCAAGTAGGAAAAATAAAAAAGGATGTGCAAAATACTGAGCCACTCTTGTGTATAGAAAAATTGTTTAAAAAATTAACTTTAGTAGGAACAAGAGCGTAGTCTAGACAGTCATGATGTAAATCTTATGATTAGTTTTACCTTATAGTAGCAACCTTCTGTTATGATTTGGTTTTAGTTTTTCTCTTAAGGTAATTTATAATTTAATCATGGTTTACTGATCCACAATACTGATTTAATATGATTTTAAAACTTATTTACAGATCAAAAACTTAGCAAAAAAAATTTAAAAAGTTATGCCTAGTATTGGTAGGATCTGCACCTGACAAAGGAGTTCTTTTACTGTAGAATACTTTATTTTTGCTTGGAATTTATTTTCGCTATTTTCGATGAAGGGATGATTCCGTGAAAATAAAATCCAGCGAATATACTTTTTTTCCTATATTTCACATTCAACTCATCAAAAATCAGTGAAAATGAATTCCATACAAAACACCCAAAAAGCTTTTTCAGCGAAAATTAATTCCAGCTAAAATAATGTATTCCACAGTATTTAATTTGAATTAAGGTTGAAAGAAAATTAACTGTAACCTTTACAGTAAATTAGTTTTTGCAGGTATCCAAGTCATTGTCATGAAATACAATTCACAGGCGAGTCGCATCATGGAGCTGTTCGCTGCGACGCCTGCGTCTGCAATTCGCTCCCCCTTCCACTTTTGCCAAAACCTTGTGTCTTGTGTCATTTATTGAAGCATTAACTTACTTTTAGCATATAATACCTGCGCTTTTGATAGACTGTAGCTAACTTCTTTGTTATGCTAATGAGGGGTAATTGTGTTACATACCTCACTAGATTTCATTACATATGGTATGTTAAGTTGTTAAGAACCTCAAAGTAACTTAATACATGCATGGTCCTCTCAATTAGCTAAAATTAGGTTCTTTTAACAGTTGTTTTTTCTTTTATAAAAAGCAGAATTAACATTTCTATGACTTGATATGTGATTGGTCATTTAGTAATGTTTTCTGTCTTTCATTTCTGACCTGGTGAACTGATTTGACATTTTCTATCATCAAATTGCCGGGGTGGTATGTCAGCATTCCAGGTCACGCTATGTTAAGAACATGATTAGTTTACATCAGACATTTGAGTGTGCGAGAGAGGTTAATTATTATATTAGGCAGCAGACAAACAAAATTATCTTCGCAGTTTGAATCCCATCTCTTTGACTCGTTTATTACTGTACTGTGACCTTGCCTTTTCTTGCAAACAAGTGCTACTTTAAACAAAAAATTTTAATTTAAAAACTCAAGAGATGAGGAAAATACGTCTTTGCAATGGACCAACAATTAAATATTCTTAGTAAATTCATTATTTTAAATATAGCGCTTACCAGTACACTATAGCCATATAAACTACTAGTATGTGGACCTTTGGTTTGTCCAAGACTTGTTTGTACATGCTATAGTAGATTTGTAGCATTCAAGTATCTATCTTTATTGGATACAAAAAAAGCTATGGTTAAACAGAGTTACTGATCTACTATCAAACACTGGCAAGTTTTAATAATACAGATAAAATCAAAACCATAAAAATATATAAACTCTATATAATTTTTTTATGCCAGTGAAAATCACTCGCATTGTCCTATGTGTTTATAAACAATTCATATACTTTTTTTCATTGAATAAAAGGTTTCTAATAAAAAAAAGACTGTCATTCAGTTCTTTCTAAGGTTTGTTTACTTTGATATAGTGAAGTACCATTGTAATCCCCTTGGACTTAAGTCTAATGACTACAAAAGCTTATAAACAACCTGTGTCGTAAATAAACATACGCACAAGCTGAAACATGGACCAACTGAAACATATTTGGAGTTCACGAATCAGTGAGCACTAACTGTCACTTGTTCAGACAGTGCATTCAGGCAGACACCACCGTTTAAGGAACTGCAAATTACCTGCTGCGTTGTTTGTGTTAAAATGGCTGATCATGAGAGTGGTAGGGATATTGTACTTGCAAGAACTGGTGTTAACATGAGTAATACGGTGAAAAAGATTCCTGGCTTTATGCCTAACAATTCGGTTGTGTACATTGTGGTAAGTTTTCATTAGTTTCTAGAAGAATATTATGGTGTGTGTGTTTAGATATGTTGTGGTGATCTGAGGCATGTGTGTGTGTGTTTGTAGATATGTTGTGTTGATATCTGTGGCCTGTGTGTCATAATAATAATAATTTTATGAACAAATATTTCATTCCTTGGAAAAGATAAAAAGGGTCATAAAATAAAATGTTACAAGAAGCAGTGACTCAAAACAACCTGTTGATTGTATCTTGTAATTGTTTTTTTATTAACACTAAACTTGACTTTGTTGATGAACTTATTTAATTTGCCATTCCTTAAATATATATATATATATATATATATATATATATATATATATATATATATATATATATATATATATATATATATATATAATTGTTAAATTGAAATATTCAAAATATATTTATATTACATAAGGAAATACGAGTGAGTCTTAAGGTTTGATTACCTGGTATTTAATATTATTTCATTCAGTAATGAAGTTAGTGTTTGAACAGGTCTGAATGACACTAAAATAGCCATATTTAAGAAGATAAATGTATAACAATGTTGACAAATTCATTGTATCTACAATCACTTGCACTAAAACCAAAAAGTGACTAAAGCCAGAAGTGACAACACTGACATTCAATGTCTGTTGACTGGCACAAAAATTAAATAAAAACAACAAAAACTGAATCTTATTTTGCATGATTACAGGAAATGGAGGATACCAAACACAGACTTGAAGACAGTGAGTGTGCAAGACAACAGCTGGCAGACAAGGTGGCTACACTGCAAGCTAATGTAGAGGCTTTACAAGCTGAATCACACAAACAGTTACAGGTAAAATATGGGTATCCTTAAAGCTTGCATTTCAACAAGTCAGTGAAGTCACCATAGAAAAATTGTGTGATTGTTCAATTTTCATAGCGCATGTGTTTTTTTTTGACAGGTCATACAGGTCTTGATTTTTAGATTCTTTTGTGAAAAAGGGGTGAAAGCACCTGAGTTGTTGCTGTGTGACATGTTTGATATCCTCTCACAACTACATGTGATTTATACAACACATACTATTCATGGTTGGCACAAGATTTAACTATTACTATCATAATACTGCCGTCATGCATACAATGCATATTCTCATGATAATCTCATATTGCTACAGTTTCATCAGATTATTAGTTCATTTATAACTTTATAAATCTGAAACACAACTTTTTAAACATTCCAACAGGAGAAGAAAGAGATTTTTGATGGAGTGAAAGAAAGACTTGGCAAGGATTTGGCGAGTACGAGAATGGAGCTAGAACAGAGAAACAGACGTGTGTTAAGCTTAGAGAAAGACATGGCTGAGAAGGAAATGGTAAACAGGGCGCTTCAGGAACGTTTAATTGAATTACAGGCAGAAATGCAGCAGGAGACATACGCAAAGGAACGATTGATTGATGAAAAAGAGAGGCTGTTCAGAGCATCACAGACAGAGATGGAGATGACGCTGAATAATCTCAGGGAGGACTTTGAGAGA